CTGTAGTGTGATATCAATTATCTCATACAAATTATATACAGTATTTTTATATACATACAGATTAATGATAATCTATCGTGGTTTGTTCTAGTTAAACCAACCATTACTTATTGAGTGGATTGACCTAAATAGGAACTGAATAATTAATATATAATTATCAACAGTATGACTAGACTAGTTAGTATTGAGCTTATTAATTTTTATTTGTTGTTATTTTACTAAGCTAGTTCTTTTTGTATGTACTTGACAGGATATTTTATACTCTTCAATATTTTGAGATATTATTTATTCAGACCTCAGAAGGGGACATGTTACTTTCTTTGTTACTATCTATGACATCAAATCAATCCCTATTAACTGATTTTTAATTAAGCAAAGCATCAGATTGGGATATCCTGAGTTAAGAGAGTGGAATCTTGAAAACTATCAAGGCAAAGGTCTGGGAGTGTCTATGGTAGACTAAATCAAAAGTCATTCTTTATGCAATTCTTTCAATAGTATGACCATAAATCTCAATTCTTGATTAACAAAAAGTTATAAGTCTCTCTTCCTGCAGCCTAATCTGAATGGATCTTGTTTCAGATAATTGGATACGACTTTTACAAAATAACTGATAAAACATAATCAGAAGATAATTTTTAATTTTTGGTTTTTAAGTGATATTAAACTACAGACTTTGTGATTGCGACCTGTGAACACTATCACTGTGCTATTGATCTATAGATCTACTCATATATGATTTTCTATATCAATCTGATTTAGATTCATCTATATAAATTTAAAAAATGTTATCAATTATAGAAATAAAATATGTATTAGCTATTTATTATACATAATTTTTATTTAAAGTATTGATAAATTCAGTTTTGTAAAATATTATTGTATTATATAATAATATAAAAGCTTTATATTAATTATTTAGAAGATAAGACTTTTAAATAGCTAAATGCTAATTATATTGAGTCAGGAAATACAGTATATTGTTCTTTTAATTGATAATTGTGAGAAATTTTTAGGATATAAAGCAAATATAATATTAATGTTTGTTAGAATTATAATTGTGTTTTGTGATTTAATAAAGAAGAAATATATATTCAAGAATACTATGTTTTTATTTATATTGTATTTTAGATACCAAAATAAGAAAGATTTATTGTTTATAAAATATAGTATGATATGTATGCAAAATTTCAAACAATATTAACTTGAATACTCTATAGAAAAAAAATAGTTATTTAACTTTTATAAATCTAAAAAAAGATTAAATTTTTCTTAAGGTAAATTGTAATCACTTATATAGATGACACAACTTGGATTGTCAAGTCAAAAAAAGATATAAAATATATCTTAGAAAAAATAAAATAGTTTTATATAGCTAATAACTTTTAGATTAATATCAAAAAATTAATTTTTCTTACTATTAATTAAAACTTTCAAGAGTTTGAAAGTATTCAAGTGGAAATAGAGAATATTATAGTTTAAAAAATTGATAAAAAAGATCAAGCAAGATTTCTTGATATTTGATTGAAACTCAATCAAAATAATAGAAATACAATTAACCTAATAAAATCTAAATTAGAACTGTGATTCAAACTATAAACAAGAAAAAGCTAATTAAAAATATATTCATTACATTATAAACAAATTTCATATTTTATAAATAGAATATAGAATGCAATACACATATCTTGATGAAAAAACATACAATAATTTTATAGTTATATATTGAAAGAAATTAAAAAATAAAACTCTTATTTGTAAAACAATATCAAACAGTTGTATTATAACAAAACTATATAATTGTAATATTAGCTTTGGTTAACAAATTGCAAATAATATTTTAAAGTTAAGGATAAAAATATATTTTTGACTATCAAGAAATATTTTCTCTATTATATTAATTTTACAAAATAATAAAAAGTATGAAAAGGCTATTCCATCTTTAAGAAAATATATGAATATATATCTAGATCAACTTATTGATATTACAAAAATGATACTTAAAGACTAAAAAGCAATTCAAAATATTTATAGCAAATATAAAGAACAAGTCTCTTATTTAAACACAATATATTCAATGTGCAAATTACAGGAGAAAACCCTGAAACATCTTTTTGAATACTCCAAGATTCAAAGTAAAAGATCAATTATATAGGACAAATTTCAAAGTAAAATCCTTCAATATATCAGAAAACAAATTATCTATCTAACGAAAGCCAAACAGAAGTTAAAAAAGTAATAGGAAAATGGATCCAGTATATTTTCTAACAAAATAAAAGCTTATATAATACAGTCTGTGGCTTTATATATAGAAACAAGACTAAGATCCTGAAAAAGCACACAAAGCTCTTGAGATCCTAACAACAACAATACAAGAGGTTATTGGTACATTTTATAAAAAAATGAGGAAGAACTTCAAGAAAGAAGTCTGAAACAAATGCTGTAGCATTACTATCGAATAAAAACAAAATCAAGGAATTATTAGTAAACTTAAAAGGCTTAGAATATCAACTGAAATGACTAGAAAAATGGATTGAGTCCTTAAGAAAGCCAATCATTTCTTTATTTGTCCCTTTAAAAATTTAACAAAAGAAAAAGAAGGCTCAAAATGAATGAAGTCCCAATGCAATATATTAGATATAATAAGTAGTGAATATCCAAAGATTTTAAATTGTTTGGTTTTTAATCATAGTTAAAACTTTGGAAGATTTATGGTAATGTGCTATAGGCAATGATTTGAGTAGTTAAAGGATAATCCAAGTTATAAAGGGTGTGAAATATCATCTCCTAAGTTTTATTTAGAGAAAATTAAACTTTGTAGATATGTGAGTCAATATGTGAAAGTCATAAAATATGTAAATATTAAATATGTTTACAATAAAATTGACAAACCATATTGGCCTGACTATGGATTAAAAAAAAATAAGGAACTAGTCCTCTCTTAGTTCAAGAATATACTCAAAAAAATAACAATAAATCAGGACCTTTTGTAAAAGTTATTATATATAATGAACTGAACAAGTTACAATATATAAACTGAAATAACATTATTAACTTTAAATAAATATTATTTTTTTTATGTTATTGATTTTTGATATATATATTTTTATTAATAATTATATTGTAATTAATAATATAGTTGAAATTTAGATATTACAAATAAGAATATTATAAATTTTATTCAATAAAGCTGATTCACTAATAAAAAATATTAATAAACTTATTAATTTTATTTAACAAAATTCTGAATTAGATTCGAATAATATGATATGGAAATACTTAATTCTTTGTAATAAAAAATTTTTTAAAAAATATCAAATTAGATCTTTTTTTTTAAATTAAAATTTTTATTAATAATATTATATTAAATAATATTATATGATATATTTATTTATTTATATAAATAAAATAAATATTATATTTATTTTATTATATAAATATATTTTACCAACTAAGTAAACAAATTTCTAATAATGTTTTCTATATTTAATAAAATTTTCACTAAATTTGAATATAAGTATGTTGTTTAATTTTTAATTTTATTTTTTTTATTAATAACTGTATATAACATTATAATATTTTATTAAAATTTAATAAAATTTTTACTATAGATAGAATTAATCATAATATTATATTTACATAATTAATTAAAATCAATTTACTTAATAAATAAAAAGTTCATTGAGAAACAATTATTATAAATTAATGATAATAATTTATAAATTTAACCATTTATTGATAACAATTATATTTTACTGAGTAGATTTTTAAGTATTTGATAAAAATCAATAAAATTCAATATGAAGTAAATAAAAACATAATAATAAGATTAATCAATAGCATGTTATCTATTAAAACATTAGTTTTAATAATAAGTTATATATTATAATTAAATTCAAAAATTAAAAAAATTTTCGTATAAATGTAAAGCCTAAATGCTAATAATAAAGGACCCGGAAAATTTTTGTGATCGTAAATTAACGCATTGATCATCAGACTATTGGTATACTGTTTTTTTTTTTATCGAGAGTTGACCGTATTTGTAAGGGCTATACGATCTCGCACGTGATGTTTGCTACGATCAAAATGTTGCGATAATGTAACTGCATTGTCGAGAAGTCATCGAGTTATTGTCAAAATCACGCGCCAATAATGTGGAATCGTTCGTCGAATTTGGGTAAGTTTCAGAAAAGTAATAAAGATAAGATTTGAAAAATTGTAAATTCATCTTTTGCTAATAAAAACGCCTTGTTTTTTTTTTTACTTGAAGGATATGTGGGTGTAAAAATTGATATAGGGCTGGAGGTAAAAAAAAGTTTGCAGCGGGAAAAAAAGAGTGGCAAATCTCTATTTATTGTAAACATAATGAAAACATGATTGATAATCATATTTGTGTCGCCATTTATGGCCCGAAATGTCAACACTTGTCTAAGCGGTACAAGCCATAGCCCATGTTGAAAGGATAGGAATAGACACACAACGGAAAAATAATATATGATATAAATGTGGTGTTTGTGACGCTAGTTCTTTCCCCCCCTTTATTGATAAATAACGATTGTATTGTTTAATATTTGGACATTTCTAAACGTAAGAGCACATGAGGGAGTTTTAACTTCACATCGTGCTCTTATTTCAGGTTTTTAATTTAACCGTAAAGATCCTAGTTTTGGATTCTTAATGTTTTTCGAATATAAGCCTGGAAGTTTATAAGACATTCCGGAACTTTCAAGTTCCTATATCAAAAATGGCTTTAGCGACGTGACACAGAGCAAAATATTTACAAACATTAATTTTATTATTAACATCTTTATTTCTTGAGCTATTAAAACCTCCAACTTATTTAAAGTTATCGAGATTTTTTTTTTTTTTAAGAAAGAGACAATTTCATGTAAGCATTTGTTTTTCTTATCGTTTTAATTTTATTCTCTTGATCGCTTAATTCCATTCAATTCACTTAACTTTTAATAGGTCCAAATTGAAAAGAAATTTAATCTTCAAAAATGAATTCCAAGCTCTTGACTATTTTGTCGTTAGTTCTCGCTACTCTATTATCCATATCAATCGCATATCCGTCTGAGGTTGGCAAAAGTAAATTCAAATTATTTTTCTTATATTCATCAATCGACGATCTATCATCAGCATTCACTGACTTGTAATATCAAGGAGAAGCGATTTCTCAAATTGATAAAAGTAAATGTTAGTGAATGTCTGAAGAAAAATAAATTACGTAACTTGATTTGCATATTAGGTGATACAGTATTAGTTAATCAGTATCATAATTTTTAAATTGATGATCTACTCTTTCCTCATACGTATTACTTGTTCATTAGGTGTTATTTTGCTCATATTTATTTTCAATTAAACACAAATTTAAATACATTCTTATCTCAAAGGAACATCGGATGCGAGTACCATCAAAGAAATTACGCAAAACTATTTCGTTACCGATGATCCTAATGTCGTCGTCGAGATCGGAAACGTAGATGATAATGGTTGCATTTCATTCTATGCTAATATCATCGATATCACTGAAATTGATGGTCTTTTATGTCCGAATGAACTTAGTCTTAAAGTTTGCGTAACAATTCTTGGTTATAATGTCGGATGTATAGATGGAGATCTCCAGGGAGTCAGGCTTAGCATAAACTTACTGCTAGTCAAAGGATCAGTGGCATTCTATATGGATGGAACTTGTCCATCCTTAGCTTACGATCTCATTCCTACATGGGATGAATCTGAGTATGGCGGAGAACTTGAGACATTATGTTATTAAAACAAGTTTTTTAGAATATTAGTAATTATTAAGAATAAAAGTTAATTCGTTATTACTTTGATTTCATTGGTCATGTAACATTACATAATTTTTTTTATGTTAAATATTTTTTAAGTCTCGGAAAGATAATAAAGTCGGACATGATTTGCGCTGACCAGACCATTAAGATTCGCATTCGCTCGGAATTATAATCCAATTCTGACCAGATTTATGATATGCGGTCGCAATTTATATTTTTTATATTTAATAGGAGTCGCTCTTTTCAATGAAGTTTGTCGCGTTCGATCTTCTTCTAGTCTTATGATAGCCAGACATAATTTTGCATTGCCTTTATCTATGATCTGCGTCGGCTAGATCTTTGAGCAAGATTATGACCCATCGTTCGTCCAGGATTATTATCAGGGTCTGACCGGACCTTTAGACAGACTTGTAAAGCGGATCGTAAGTCTAGTCGGATCCTGATCACAGTTATTGACAAACGCAAACCACAATTCTACCTAATGGTCTGACCAGATGCAGATTGTAATCATAAGATTTAATATTTGCGTCTGGTCAGATCTTTGTGACCATGTTCATCCAGAATTATGACTGACTTTATACTTTTAATATTTAACGGATTTGAAATCATGATTAATATACTTTCCCTTCTCTTTATTCTATAACAATATTGTGACCGAAGTCCGATACCAGACTTTATTGCCCAAACTTGATTTGCGTCTGGTCGAACTTTGGTGATCTGCATTCGCCCCGAATGATGACCGATCCGTGAATTCTATATTTTATGTTTCAATATTTTTTTTCAAGTTTATTTTAATAGGAGTTACTTTTTTAAATAGAAGTTATTCGCCTGGAATTATTATCAGGTCTGTCGAATTAGGCAGATATTATTTGCATACTTGAATAGAATTGTGACTCACATTCACCATTAGACTTGACCTTATTTTTTTTTAGAGTCGTAAATGTGTGTCTCTTTCTGTAAAGCCAGAATTACAGTGGCGGCCGAAAGTATTGCATCACCTGAACGTAAAAATTAGAATAGTAACATCTCGTGATTTGGGATTTGCAGTGGTGCAAAAATATTACAACACTATCAGTTTATGTAGTAATATACATCAGCATACTTTATACTTATTAAATGATAATAATTTTTTTAACCCTCTGTCAGGCTAATTATATGTGCTTTATTAAAAATATCATGACTATACTAATTACAGTGTCGCTAAAGCTAAATTACAGTATTAATTAACTCACTCATCTTGATTTGTCTCCAAACTCTAAGTGCAACTTTGGAAGTGATTTATCATTTCATTTATGATTTGAGTTAATATCATTCTATCATTAACCTCATTACCTACAGTTCATTACTGCAAATCACAAACTTCAATTTTGACAGAGTTTAAAACCCAATCATTTCATTCTGTTTTAATTCCTGCCATTATGATCTTGATGAGACCTTTATCTGAATGTTTATCTTCTATAGTTTTTCTTTTTTTCTTTGTATTTATTACTCTTTTTGTTAAAAAGAATTTTATAGGACTCTTTATTTTATCTTTTTAAGAGATTTTCTAAGCTTTTTTCCATGTTATCCTAATTTTAAATCTTTTATTCTGTACTTCTTTTCTAAAGTGATTTAAAATTCTTTTTTAACTTCAAGTATTTATTTTCTAACTATGGTTTCAATTTTTCTTCTTTTATAATTTGTTTCTTCACTTTATCTATAAATTTCTTTACTAGTTTTATAAAAAAATTTGATTATATCTTGACTCTCTTTGGATATTCTTTTTATGAGTTTTATTGTTCAAATTTCTATTTCTCTTAGTTTATCAAATGATAATAATAAAAAATTTATTGATGACATATAAATATATATATACGGTAGCTTACAAAAGTTTGGGATCATCTAATAGTATTTTTATAGTTTTTTGATTTAATCATTTTTTTATTTCCCCTT